TAGTGACGGCCAACAGGGAGCTCTGTCATGGGCTGGTCCATGAGGTCAAAAGAGTCGGAAACGACTGAACGAATGAACAACAACTTGATTTATTATCAGTAAATGCTCAATTTGCATACATATTTTATATACCCATATACTCAGTCATGTAAAAATTTCTCAGGTAAAAAGTGGTTATGAGTGGAAGATTTTTAAGAAGCCCTAACTGACTCCGATTCCTTATTCACTGTAGAAATGTCTCAACATCCACTGATAAAAACACACACCAAATACTACGTGGAAAATACCTTGGTTTCATCTAATTTCGTGCTGCAAGTTTCTTCTTCAGCATGCTGCATTATCACAGAATGTCTATGCCCTACACCCTGGAGAAATTATACTGTTTAGCTGGTACTGCACCACCTGGCATCTGTCGGGAAGTAGCAGCCTGTAATGAAAGGACCAAGGCAGTGACATTTCCAGCCCATCCTCTGTTTGGTTATCAGCCAGCACGCCAACACCTCAAATCAAGATCTACAGATGTACTCGCAGGAACACCACAGCAAGCAGGACTCCAAAAGTGCCAGATTAAAACCCAGAACCTCAATCAGTGGCTGATACCAGATGAGAGGCTCCCTCCTGGGCTCACCGAAGATTAGGCAACTTGAAAGGCCCTGAACAAACTACACTCTGGCACCACGAGATACAGAGCCAATCATAAAATCATAGAATCATAGAGTTGAAAGAGGCCTCATGGGCCATCCAGTCCAATCCCCAGCCAAGAAACAGGAAAATTGCATTCAAAGCACTCCCGGCAGATGGCCAGGTTGCCTCTGCTTAAAATCCTCCAAAGAAGAAGCCTCCACTACACTCCGGGGCAGAGAGTTCCACTGCTGAACAGCTCTCACAGTTAGGAAGTTCTTCCTCATGTTCAGGTGGAATCTCCTTTCCTGTAGTTTGAAACCATTGTTCCATTGTGTCCTAGTCTCCAGGGAAGCAGAAAACAAGTTTGCTCCCTCCTCCCTATGATTTCCCCTCTCATATTTATACATGGCCCTCATCATGTCTCCTCTCAGCCTTCTCTTCTGCAGGCTAAACATGTCCAGCTCTTTCAGTTGCTCCTCATAGGGCTTGTTCTCCAGACCCTTAATTTTAGTCATCCTCCTTCTTAAGAAATGAGGCTACAAAGTGGAGTCCACGACGTGCGAGAGTGGAGAAGAGCAAACCACAGACCACCTATTACAATGTAACCGGAGCCTTGACACATGCACAATGGAGGACCTTCTTACAGCGACACCAGAGGCAATCCAAGTGGTCAGCTTCTGGTCAAAGGAACTTTGATATAATGCCAAGTTTTAAACTTTGTTGTGGTTTTTCTATATAACTGTATTTTCAATTCACTTCTGACATGATAAATCTCATTTCAGAAGCAAAACAGGATTGAGACCTATTCTCTGTAATAAGCGGGTGACTGTTGTGAAATGCCAGGAATTTCCAGGTAAATTTGAGAAACAATCCTATCTGAAACCCTGGAGGGCTATGGATAGTTAAACCTGTCTACCAATGATCTGATTCAGGAAAAGACGTCTACTTCTGTTTAAATATCTCCAGCCTTCGGAAGACATTTCTTCTCCTTTGAAAATGCTTAGACTGTTTCTCTCGCTTAAAATGTGTTTCCCTTCTGTTTCTGTGTGTTCATTATATGCACATTATGCATTATAGCAGTAGTTCTCAACCTGTGGGTCCCCAGATGTTTTGGCCTTCATCTCCCAAAAATCCAAACAGCACGTAAACTTTCTGGGATTTCTGGGAGTTGTAGGCCAAAACACCTGGGGACCCACAGATTGAGAACCACAGCATTATAGTCTTTCAATAGTTTGGAGATAATGTCCGTATGGCCCTTAATTTTCTCCAGTTTGCCCAGATGAACCTAGTCCAGCTTTCAATTTTTCCACACAGGATTGGAAAGCGTGCAACTTCAACCCAACACTCAAAATTCTTTGATTTCAAAGCATGCTCAGTCCTTGTTTAGGAAAATTTAGGTTCTTTCATTAAAATTTTTTTTTTTTAACTCCTGCATCTTTGGTGCTCCTTAAAATATAGCAATATCTCTTATTTCTCTGTGTTTCTGCTGATTTTAATGCCTATTTTGTGCCAGTGTTCTATGTAGATCATACGTTATACTGTGCAAGATTTGAAAGATCTGAAGCACAATATCCCATATATGTGTGTGTATGTATATGTATATGTATACGTATACGTGTGTGTGTGTGTGTGTATGTGTGTGTGTGTGTGTGTGTGTGTGTGTGTGTATATATATATATATATATATATATATATATATATATATATGGATGGTAATCCCAATTCTGAATCGTTGCTGGATTTATGGTGACAAAATGTCGGGTTGGTTCTTCTGCTCGGCACTAGTTTGTAATGTACTCATCAAAGTCATTGAGCAAAAACCTGTGTTTTACTTGTCTTGTTTTGCGAAGTGCAACATCAACCTTTCACCGCACACAAAGCAACCTGCAAGTCAGTCTAGCTGAGAATGAGAGTTGCCATGGAAATGCTCAAATAATAAACCAAGAGTGAATGATGATGCCTCGATCTATTTGCCAACCGGAGTGGCAGGCTTTAAAGCGCACGCACACACACACACAACTAGCTAGCTGCTACAGAGGTTTCAAATAAATTGAGATCTGAAGAAGTCTCTGTTCTTGTGAGACTTCATTTCAGGACACTGCGAAAACTGACTGCAAAGTTCAAAAGTCTTGCTGCCCTCAGGCAACTTTAAGGTCTGATTGCAAACAGATATGCAGTTTAGTAGACTGCAATTGCAATTGTTTCTCTTGGCCAAAGCAGTGCCCTAAGGAATATGAGCAGACAGAAGAATTTTGTCTAGTCTGGTATGTGGTTTCCCATGATGAAACCCACAAGCGTTAAAGAAACTGACCAGTTCGCCCTCAGCTAGCCATCTTCAAATGTTGGAATTGGGGGGGGGGGGGGATTCAATCATTTTCCTATGTGTCAAACATTAACTTATATGTACAGCAAGACCCTCCATTTTTGTGGAGGCTAGAAGCAAAGGACCCCCATAAAAGTGGAAAAAAGCAAATTAAAAAATTAGTTTTTGATTTTAAAAAATACCTAACATGTTTTCTCTTGGTATCTCTAGATCCTCAAGCACAACTCTATGATCAACTTATGACTGAGAGCAGGCATGGGCCCTCCAGATGTTTTGGACCACAACTCCCACAATTACTAACAGCTGGTAAGAATTAGGAATTGTGGGAAGAAGTTCTGATCTAGAGATTCCTATAGCGTATATACCAAATCCATAAAAGGTATAACAGATGTATAACTTCCATAGCTTTCCACTGTCCCAATGTGCAGTTGTTTTGGGATTCGCTTGAATGCTTTGGGTCGGAATTCTAAATATCACCCTACCACAAAAGCCTTAAGGCAGTTTAATCAGGGTGATAATGCTATGATCATGTAGCCTGAAAAGGGCCCAAGTCCAACTAATTCCTGACTTCAAAAGTTAAATCTGATGACCAAAAGATGGCATGTTTTTTTTAAATAATGGTGTGTTTTCATCTATGTATTTTATTTTATTTTAAGGGACCGCAGTTAGCACAGTGGGTTAAAAAGCCAGCTACAGAAAATCTTGCTGACCAGAAGGTTGGCAGCTCAAGTTGCAGGTTCAGGTGAGCTCCTGCCATCAGCCCTAGCCCTAGAACTGCTTACCTAGCAGTTCAAAAACAGCCATTTAAGGAGATAAATAGTACTGAATTGGCTGAGAGGTAAAAGGTGCCCCTGCAGAGATGTTGGCAATTCGATCAGGAAGGCGTCCATGGACAATAGCCTCCTTGGCATGGAAAAGTGGAACAGCAGCACCTCCCCATGGCTGAGTTGAGCACAGCCTCCAGATACTGGAAATGAAAAAGAGGGAAGCCATGCCTCTGTATATGTATTGTTTGTCCTCATGAATTGTCGAATGGCATTGAATGTTTGTCATATATGTATTCTGGAGCCCCCGGTGGCACAGTGGGTTAAACTCCTGTGCTGGCAGGACTGAAGACCGACAAGTTGCAGGTTCGAATCCGGGGAGAGGCGGATGAGCTCCCTCTATCAGCTCCTCATGCGGGGACATGAGAGGAGCCTCCCACAAGGATGATAAAAACAGTAAAATCATCCGGGCGTCCCCTGGGAAATGTCCTTTCAGATGGCCAATTCTCTCACACCAGAAGCGACTTGCAGTTTCTCAAGTTGCTCCTGACACGACTCTCTCTCTCTCTCTATATATATATATTCTGTAATCCACTCTGAGTCCCCTTGGGGAGATAGAGTGGAATATAAATAAAGTATATTATCATTATATATTATATTTGCTTGTATTGTATGTTCATATGTTTTGACAATGTTCGACCCTGTCTCAAGCCATTAGGAGAGGCAGGTAACAAATAAACAGTATTATTATTATTATTATTATTATTATTATTATTATTATTATTATTCTCACTGGCTCATTCTCATGCATATCGATCATTCCAAAAGAATAGTCATACATTAAATTAACAACACCATGTTACAAAATTTGAAACATTTTCTGTTCCTGGTTTGAAAGTTTTATTTCCTGTTCATTTGTGCGGTACTTTGAAAGTGGTTATACTCCAGAAACTTCGTTTTTGTGGCTGCCACAAACTATATCGAATTGGTTGAAACTCTATGAGATATTCACTAAAAACTATTGCAAAATGTGTTTCAAGATGTCTTACAAAAACAGTTTTTGCAGTTTAATAAACTTTTTCTATGTTTTTTAATATATGCAGAATATATGCAGTATAAGGTAGGTCTGCTTATTAATTTTTAATGAAGAGGGATAGAAGACTTTCACATACAAAGAAAGTGGGAGGGAGGAAGGGATGGGAAGAGAAACAGAATTGCTCTCTTATTGAGGTATGCAAAATTCATGTATAACAATTTCAATAGAAACTATAAAAATGACGCAGTCACTGTTAATAGAAAAAGTACCCATTTATTCAAGGTATGACAAGTGTATTTACAGTATTCTCTTTTTTATTCCAGGACAAGATTCTTGTGTGATCCTTAAAGCAACAATTAAGAATTATATTTCAATGGGCAAAAATATTTTGTAAAAGACACTTTTTTTTGCAGAATTTTCCAACACAAGCAGCTCACTCCTATGCAAATGTCTTTGGAAAAAGAAGAAGAATCTACCACATTCAGTATAACTTACTTCTTCCAAGTAAATTTGCATAGTATTAAAGTCAATGTGTTATTCTGACGACTACCATAATACCAAATTGTAAAAAAAATTACTTTGCATCAACCAAGATGTATCAGCCAAACAGAACCATCTCCCCAATGCCATTTTTACAATTTGTAGGCCCCTTCCAGAGCCTCAGCCCAATATTTTTTATAAACAAAAAACTCGTCATTTCCAATCTGATATTTTGGGGGGAAGGCAGTGGACAGCCTGCAGAAGCTCCCAGAAGCTGAAAGCTGGTCCCAGATTTTTTTTCCCAAACCTACTATCCTCTGGTATATTACCTTGGATGTTGCAGATATCATGCTCTATTTCCTCCCTCTCTCTGCAGCCAATTACAAGTCAAAACTTTTCACAAACTAATTCCATTGCCCCCTGTGCAAACACTGTGAATACTTTGAGCACAAAGCACACTTAAGTTAAAAGGTAGGTCAAATTATCCAGAACTTTCCATTTCATCGCACAGCAGTGACAAAAGGAGGAATGACCTAAGATCTTTCAATATATGTGTATATATAAAGTCCCTGCATGCTTTTCTAACCAAATAAAGCAGGGAGAAGGACTGCTTCCAATCTTTGTATTTTGATCACTTAAAGCACTATCGTTTTAGCTCATCAGTAAAAAAAAAAAATCCCCTAACAACCCATAGTTATTTGAAAATTTATGAGTCTCATTAAGTGGTAAGAATATTACCAAATGAGACTGTTTTTAAGACGAAAATTGTCTTCGCTTTACTTTCTAAAGGACCAATACTGCTACCACCATTACTATTTTATAACAATCCCCTCACTTTGAAATAAACCACAGAGACATGAGAATGTTATATGTTTGTGATCAACCTAAGGATGCAGTCAGAAAATGCTTCCCCACTGGATCATTCGTAAGAGTGACTGGGAACAGTTTCCCTCTTGGTTCCTCTCAAGTAAGTAGATTCTTGAGGACGTGGTATTATTTAAAGAGGCTTTACTTATAGAAATGATTGTATGCATTGCTGTTGCTCCAAACTGTAAGCATCTCTCTACACTTGCAAGATGGATTAACTGGATCTAAACATGAGAGACTGACATAAGCAAACCTATTTTGTTAAATACTTCAAATATGGGAAGGACTGACAAAAGTACTTCTTTTAAATTAAAATAAGTGCCTAAGATTTTTTGACCATGCCCCAATGAACCTGAATTTTTTTAAAAAAAGAATTGCAGACAGGGCCCTGTAACATTTTGTTTTTGACATCTTATATGTAACACGTGTCACAGTGAAAATAATGAGGTACATACACAGCTTCAGGACTGAGAATAACCAATTTCTAACCATTTTAGAAAATAATCCATGTGCTTGCTGAAGAGCTGCTTCAATTTCTCCAAGAAATGGAGATACTCATTCAATGGTTGGTTTTGCAATCTAAGGCATAGATTCAAAAGGGATTTTGAAATCTTCCAAAATTGGGCTTGTCTCAACTAAAGAAAAGATTAAAGTATTTGTTTACCGGAATTTAAAAGAATGGCTCCTTGTCAGACATCTGTAAGCATGAATGGCTCACAGTAGTGTTCGAAAATTAAAATGCATAAATAAACATGCTCACAGGGAGTTAGGTGTTACATTCTCATCCAGCCGTTTTGACAGGGGCTTAAATCAGGCAGGTGGAACCAAGTGAACAGGCAAGCCTTGCTTCCACATGCACTTTTGACAAAAACCAGGGCAAACAAGATATGCATTCAAAAAACACTTCAAATGTTCTATGGGAGGGGAAACATAAGTGAACTGCCATTCTTCTCACACATCTGCAACTTTAGGTGAAAGTGGCAAAGGAAAGGAGCCATAGGTATTAGTAACACTCAGGTCTCTTATACTTCATCTCTTGCTGTTTCAGTGGAATGCTCAAAGTGGCTCAGAAATTCACCATCAGCTGAAATATGTATCTCTTGAAAATCAAAAAGGACAAATTAAGCCACATGAATTTAAAAAAGTCTTTTGGTGTGGCACTTGATCAAGAATATTAAAATACATTTTTTCAAGACTTTCCAGTACACAACCAATTTATTTTTCGTCATTGCCAAGTTAAGCTATTTACACAATAAGTTAGCTTTGTAACATGCTATCCTAATGCCAGAATTGGATGCTTAAACCGAATCCCAAAGCCTGCATGGTACACTGGGCACATGGCGAGTAGGTAAAACATGGTGTTTCATGCCATTGTGACAGCTGCAGACATACCGAGCAGTAACTATATTCAGAACTGGTACGCCTTCTCAAAGATTTAGCTAGTAGTCAGGCCACATTTTGTAAATGTGTGAGTGCCCTGGAGTACAGCAAGTCGTTTCAGGAGCTAAACACAATGTACACAAGTTTATTCAAATGAGAAAGGACTACATCCTTTTTGAGATGTGTACATGTAGTATGGCTCAAGAGAACCAGCCAAAAAGGAGTGTAATATTGGATCCTACAGTCCCTGCCAAACCAAAGAGGTATCAAAACCAGGAGCTAAGACTGAAGTGTGTGTGTTTTTTAAAAAAGTGAGCCTTTCTGCATATTCCAAAGGTTAAGACACACCCTTCCTGGAATTTACATTTGGCTTCAAACATGTTTCCTATAAAGTTTTATTTCAGCCATATATTTACAAAGAGATGTTTACCCCGGAACTGTGAAGTGAAACCCTTTGCTAGCACATCTGGAGCTAAAGATGAAAATTCATCTTAAATGCCATGCGCACCACTCTTAAGAGAGCCTCTTGTTTTCAATAGAAAAAAATGTGGGAGGTTTTACTTTCTTCCAAGAGGGGGAGGAAATACCAGGTTTGGCAGGAGGAAAGAGAGGGCTTTAAAACTGACCCCTATTTGCTCTACCACCCCTTTAAAAGTAGGAGGTAAAAGTTACAGGCACTGATAGTTCCATGAGGGCCTGGCTGCACTTAGCCCATACTCCAAAAGCATTATGAAGTCTTGAATCGTTTAGCATCATGGGTTTCCCCATGCCTTTTTTCTTCACTTTAGTTCACAGAATTCCTGGTGCGGCAAGTCTTGGATGCACGATTGTTCTGTTTTTCTTTACTAAAGATGTATTTTGTAGACTATGGTGCAAATTAAAAACTTACGTCAGGACTGTTACAAACTTTGCCTTTGTATAGAACATAATCTTTGTGCTGATCTTTTCTTCAAGAAGACCTTATAAATAATATCAGTTTAGAAGCAGTCTTCGGCACACTTGTCATTATACCATGTTGTTACTTTCTCCAGCTTTATCTACAAGCTGTCAGGGGGAAAAGGAGTAGGGGGGAGGGATTGGGAGAGAGAAAAACAAAATAGACTGTAAGTTCGGATTCACGGTAATTTACATTTACATGCTACTTCTACAATATGTAGGTACTGCTGTACTTTTATGCTAGTGGCAAAACGAGACTGTATTTAAAGAATACTTACCAAGGTCTTATGTGGCTTAAGTGATGCAATTGGCACTGCAACTGTGTTTAGGCATGGCACATTTTTATGTTTACAGAGAGCAACATGGAGGTGCAACACAATGAAAAAAATAAACCAAAAAATGCAAGTATACATACTGTTAGCTCAATGACCCAAAGGAAAAAAGTAACAAAAAATATCTAGCCATTCTCATGCATTAATAGACTGAAGATGATATTTTCAACTAACCATTACTGGGATTGTGTCCTGAGCCTACGCAGGCTTTGAAGAAAACATCAACAATTAACTCCAAAATAACTATACTGATATTGATACTGATATAACTGATATTGGTATGCATCAGCAATAAGCAAAATGTCAAGCCAAATTATAAAAGGGGCTTAGAAAACAATCCTTAAAAGAGAACAGAATCCATTTATATTAAATAGGCATTTGGCCAAAACCTACAAATAATTGCACTGGCCAATACTTGTTGAAGGGTAGTGCAAATGACTATAATGCCACATCAAATGTATAAAGTTGTGGCCTGGCACCCTACTATGCAAATGCAAGATTAAACGAACTTTGACCTAAAGGCACTGGGGTCACAAAACTCAGGTATTATGGTGCAATCCCATACACCTAACATTTGCCATTCATGATGCAACTGAGATGCCTTTGATTCTAGTCCAAGCACTTATGTTTATGATTCTACATGTATTCAAGCATGTGTGATGCAAATAAATCAGCCACCACAGGCACGACAAATTCAGTAGCACTCACAAGAAGAACACCATATGATTGTTTACATGCACAATGGGCAACCCACAACCCATGGTGGCCTTCAGTGCAGTCCAGTTTCTCAAACAGAACCCTTCATCTACTCTCCTGTCGACATAATATCTTCTGTACAGCTGCCACATGGTTTGTGTTGGGAAATTGCTTTGGATTGCCACTGTTCATCTTCCTGCATTAACAGTGTACTCTTCAACACATTCCAAAGCTCTTTCAGAAAGCATCCCACAAGGAAAGGTCACATGGTGAGCAAGCTTTGTTATAGAAAGCTTGTCTGCTGTTAGTGATCTGTGGAACTCCAGGACTCTCAAAAATATAGTCTAAAAACTATTTCCATTAAATAATCAGTTAATTTTTTGTGAAATATGTTATTTTCCTAATAAAAAGTTTAGCAAATCGCATACATCTTGTACTGGCAAAACCTGAATAAATTCCAGATGCATAGTTTGTTTATTTCACATATGTGCATCCCGCCCTAAAAGGGGACTCAGGGTGGCCTTACAGCAGGCAGCAATTTGATAACAATACATATAAACATAAAACAAATACAATTAAAACCATACAATTAAACATTAATTATTAAAACATCAATTAAAATCAGATTATAGTCCAAGGCTTGTCCAATTGTCAATTCCATTAGCCCATCATCCTTATTGCTCTATTTACTGGTTGAATGCTTGAACTGCTACATATCATATAACAGTCTATGGATACCCATATTTTCATGTCTGAACGAAGGAGCCATTCAGCTACCATGTCAAAATTGATATTAGATTATTATATATGTTGAAGCAGGGTAAGATAAGAAAAAGATACATGGATAACAGTGTAGGTTAAAATACTAAATTGTGTATTAAACAAAGTAGAAGAAATTATGATATATGGTGCCTTTACATCATAATAACATAGGTCATGGAATCTCAAAGATCCTTTAAGTTGGGATACAGGCAATAATTGCTTGTTGTGATGGAAATCTATGCCTGTCTGGTACATGTCATGAGGTAGATGACATGGCACTCAAAAGGTAGATCAGAGAACTGCATTACTAAGTCTTCCACTTAAAGAGTTTGGGAATCATTATTCATAAAGGAGTATCTAACACTTCTTTTTGTTTTCCTAGTTACCACTCTTATATTCAGATATCTAGCCAAGCAAGCAACAGCATGCATCTGTATGGACACTGTGCACTGAATGCATACCTTTGTACAAAATGACAGAACGGTAATATGCTTTTTTTAAAGTCCAGATTCTTTTAATGGTTATGTAACATCCGAGCTTCAACAGAACTGTTCTTCAGGTCAGAAATTAAGACTATTTGTGAACTGTATAGTTATAATAAAATTTAAATAATTTTTAAAGGAGAAAACTAGTCCACTTAAAATAAAGGTTAGGGCATAAAGGCAATATTGCCCCTAGCCTATAACCTAAGAAACAGAAGCATAAAAAACAAGCTTACAATATTTATGTGAAAAAGTTTAATACTTACAGAGCTTATACCCGGTAAATTCAAGAGATATCCAAGAACAGGAATTCTTCTGATAAAACCAACCACCACAGGAAAAAAGCCCCTTAAAACAAATAAAAAGCCAATTGTTACAAGAACGTTCGCAACTTGCTATATGTGAGGCAGCAGTACTACCAAAATTATTTGTTTTTTGGTACCAACCAATTTCTCATTCCTCACAAGGTATTTTTCTGTCTTATAATGAGAATTAAAAGGCATAATGCACCCTTGCACTTTCAATTCTTACACATTTCAAACAAATTCAAATTTTACAAATCTTACAAGAACTGAAAGTTGTTTTTTTTTGTAAAAATAAAATATGGAAGTAGGTTGCATATATCTCATTTGCAAGTATCTATCTTCCTAAAGTCATGACTGTATGTTACTTTTCAGATGACAATACAGCCCTAAAAACAATTGTGAAGTGGAAAGATTCATGTGCAATGTTTGTGAAAATCACCCTGTTGATACTTGAAGGAATTATTCATGTATTTAGGACAGAAATAAGTGATGTGCAGTTCTCCAGTTGTTTTTGGACTGAAATTTCTATCAATAATAGCCAGCACGGCCAATAATAATAGATTTTTAGGAGTTGTATTAATCTGATGGGCTACATTTTCCCAACCTCTGGTGAAGCACAAGGAAAAATGACCTAACGATAATTAAATTACAAGTTCCCTCATTCCCAACAAACACAATCAGTAGTTGAGGAATATGGGAGCTATAGTAGAAGATACAGGGAAGGGACCAAGTTTTCAACTTCTGATATATAAATGACAGACTAAAAAGAAAAAGAATTGTTGGTTGTAAAAGAAAGAGGTGTTAAAATATTTAACAAACTATTTTCAACAAATTGCTAGAGCACTACCTTATGAATTACTTTCAATGTTTACCATTGGTTCTGCCTCTCAAATTTCTACAAGGACATGCAGAATGACTTATTATTCAGACTGATATGTCTCTTTTATTGTAACTATTTAGAGGCAGTTTGTATTTTAATAAATCTTATAAGCCAAGGGGAACCTGGGATGAATGGTGATTTAATATAAAAAGCCAGATGGAGCTGATTCAAATTATGTTTTTGTTGCCAGTGTAGTATAGTATTATGAGAATTATGCTACAAATCTGGAGACCAGGGTTCAAATCCCTACTCAGCCAGTGAAACCAAAAGGATTACCTTGGGCAAGTCACTCTCTCAGCCTCAGACAAAGCCCATTGCAAACTCCTCATGTACAAATTGTGTCAAGAAAATCCTGTGATAGCTTCGCTTTAAGGTTGCCATAAGTCAGAATTGACCTGACAACAGCCCAAAGAGAAAATTAAAATGTTAAGTCCCTCTCACGACTCCACTATGTTCATTTCAAGCAGATCCTTTAGTATGGTGGTGTCTTCCAAATGGAATCTTCTTTTTGTGGATATTTGATAGGAGTGTGTTTAAAGGAACAACCATGTTTCTAAGCCTAACATTTTTATGGAACATAAGTAATATTTCATATTTTGTTTTATTACTATAGTAAACTTACTATATTACTATAGTAAACTTACTATAGTAAGAGTCCCAGAAGAACTATGGACAGAAGTCCGCGACATTGTTCAGGAGGCGGCAACAAAGTACGTCCCAAAGAAAAAGAAAACCAAGAAGGCAAAATGGTTGTCTGCTGAGACACTGGAAGTAGCCCAAGAAAGGAGGAAAGCAAAAGGAAACAGTGATAAGGGGAGATATGCCCAGTTAAATGCGCAATTCCAGAGGTTAGCCAGAAGAGATAAGGAACTATTTTTAAACAAGCAATGCATGGAAGTGGAAGAAGACAACAGAATAGGAAAGACAAGAGACCTTTTCCAGAAAATTAGAAACATTGGAGGTAAATTTCAGGCAAAAATTGGTATGATAAGAAACAAAGATGGCAGGGACCTAACAGAAGCTGAAGAGATCAAGAGAAGGTGGCGAGACTATACAGAAGATCTGTATAGGAAGGATAATAATATCGAGGATAGTTTTGACAGTGTGGTGAATGAATTAGAACCAGACATCCTGAGGAGTGAGGTTGAATGGGCCTTAAGAAGCATTGCTAACAACAAGGCAGCAGGAGACGACGGGATCCCAGCTGAACTGTTTAAAATCTTAAAAGATGATGCTGTCAAGGTGATGCATGCCATATGCCAGCAAATATGGAAAACACAAGAATGGCCATCAGACTGGAAAAAATCAACTTCTATCCCCATACCAAAAAAGGGAAATGCGAAAGACTGCTCAAACTTCCGTACAGTGGCCCTTATTTCTCATGCCAGTAAGGTAATGCTCAAGATCCTGCAAGGAAGACTCCAGCAATACATGGAGCGAGAGTTGCCAGATGTTCAAGCTGGGTTTAGAAATGGCAGAGGAACGAGAGACCAGATTGCCAATATCCGCTGGATAATGGAGAAAGGCAGGGAGTTTCAGAAAAACATCTACTTTCATTGACTATTCTAAAGCCTTTGACTGTGTGGATCATAATAAATTGTGGCAAGTTCTTAGTGGGATGGGCATCCCAAGCCACCTTGTCTCTCTCCTGAGGATCTGTACAAGGACCAAGTAGCAACAGTCAGAACTGACCACGGAACAACAGACTGGTTCAAGATTGGGAAAGGCGTACGGCAAGGCTGCATACTCTCACCCAACCTTTTTAACTTGTATGCAGAACACATCATGCGATGTGCGGGGCTGGATGAATGCAAAGCTGGGGTGAAAATTGCTGGAAGAAACATTAACAACCTCAGATATGCAGATGACACCACTCTGATGGCCGAAAGCGAGGAGGAGCTGAGGAGCCTTCTAATCAAGGTGAAAGAAGAAAGCGCAAAAGCTGGGTTGCAGCTAAACATCAAAAAAACCAAGATTATGGCAACAAGAATGATTGACAACTGGGAAATAGAGGGAGAAAATGTGGAGGCCGTGACAGACTTTGTATTTCTAGGCACAAAGATTACTGCAGATGCAGACTGTAGCCAGGAAATCAGAAGACGCTTACTTCTTGGGAGGAGAGCAATGTCCAGTCTCGATAAAATAGTAAAGAGTAGAGACATCAGACTGGCAACAAAGATCCGCCTAGTCAAAGCCATGGTATTCCCTGTAGTAACCTACGGGTGTGAGAGCTGGACCTTAGGGAAGGCTGAGCGAAGGAAGATCGATGCTTTTGAGCTGTGGTGTTGGAGGAAAGTTCTGAGAGTGCCTTGGACTGCGAGAAGATCCAACCAGTCCATCCTCCAGGAAGTAAAGCCCAACTGCTCATTGGAGGGAAGGATACTAGAGACAAAGTTGAAGTACTTTGGCCACATCATGAGGAGACAGCAAAGCCTAGAGAAGACAATTATGCTGGGGAAAGTGGAAGGCAAAAGGAAGAGGGGCCGACCAAGGGCAAGATGGATGGATGGCATCCTTGAAGTGACTGGACTGACCTTGAAGGAGCTGGGGGTGGGGACGGTCGACAAGGAGCTCTGGTGTGGGCTGGTCCATGAGGTCACGAAGAGTCGGAGACGAATGAACGAATGAACAACAACAACTATAGTAAACTGCTCTAGAACATTAAACTGGAAGCTGTTTAGAAGCTGCATTCGTGGTATGCTTAAAATAAAGATTATTGGGAAACTTCTTTTCACTTTATTGTGTAGACATGCATAAATGTACTGGAGGAGTAGCAGTTTGAATGTTGGACAGGAAACCACAGTTTAGTTCATGCCTCAGTCCTGGAAGTGACACTCTCTCAGCCTAAGAGAAACTATTAACATCTAACAATTCTGGCTAGCAAAACCATTTCAGCAGTACCTTGAACGGAGCAACATAATCCAATCCAAAATCCCTCAAGAAAAAAGGAGGGGAAATGTCTAAGCAAGTTATGCAAGTATTTATTAACAGCTGAGTTTTCCTTTACAAAGAAAGATTAAGAAAGAATTCATGCAACTGTTTTTATTCTAGCCACCTTCTATTGGAACTCCCATGAATTGATGGGTTGGTTCACATATGCATGGTCACAACTTCATGATCTGATCTTAAACTATTACTATGACTGACATCGCTACAAAACTACAAAGACTGAAAGGAGAATTTGGGAGAAGACACGAAACAATTCCCAATGATTCTAGCCATGGTCAAGATATCACTAAAATAAGAGAGGTTTTTTTAGATTGAATGTTTTCAACAAAACATTTAGCAAATCAGAGAGCAACTAGACCTTTGCTTAATTAAATTTTGAGGACTGTATATCTAATGAGTTAGTTGATGAGGATAAATACCCACAGGAGGTACATACTTTCCTCCATCGGTACACCCTATACTTCTAAGTAAACTACCAAGGGAGAGTCTAAATGCATAAACTCTTTAAGAATAAGACTGTAATTAAACTGAAAGGATCTTACATAATTTCTCAAAACAAGAGGAGGAAGGAGACCAGTGGAAAGCCTTACCTGAATAAGAGGAAGAAGCCATAAATTTCAAGGACCATTCCTATTAAGGGCCAACCAATTAGAACTATAAGTACACCACCCAGAAAGAAGCCTGTGGCTTTCATTTTGTGTTTCTGGAAGAAGAATCTGAATGTCCTTTCCAAACCAATCACAAAAGCAAGGCCAGCAACAAATAAAACCTGAAAGAGCAAAAAATAAAAATAAATATTCAATCACGTAAAGAATTGAAACCATCCTGAGTCCCCTCAGGAAAATAAGGCAGGATATCAAAAAGGTTTTATTATTATATTATTATTTATGTAAAAGTCCATTAAAAACGAACTGAAGAGCATACACTATTGGAAACAGAAGTACATTTGCTTTGACATCTTTGACACTAACCTGCTGTGAGAAACAACAGATAACAGTGCAGGAAGTCCCCAAGTTACAAACAAGATAGATTCTGTAGTTTGTTCTTAAGTTGAATTTGTAAATGTTGAAACAGGTACATTTTTAAGTGTAACTTCAGCCAAATAAATAAATAAAAGCTTTGGCTAGCATAGGGAAGGGTTAAAACTCCTGTGGTGTTTATTTTGTTGTCTGAGTCCCTGTTCAGAAGATTTCACCTCACTTCCTGTCCCTGTGAGAATTGGATTTTGAAAATTTTGGCTTGTGTTAATATGTGTTAGAGAAACAGAGATGAAGACTTATTGTAACAATGATAATACTGTAAAAGAATTCCTCATTCCTCAACAACCTTCAATCTCTTGGTTTTCTCCTCGCAACATACCAGACATTTAGAAAGATGCAACTGAAGAATAATTAATCAAATTTCTCCTTTTCCTTCCTTTGTCCCCCATCCCCTACTTTCCTAGTAAATGCTTTTAAAAAATATTTGGAAAAAAGAGGCACAGATTGGTGATAAAGCTTCAGTGGAGACACTTTTCCCCCCATGGTTAAGTCTTCCAGGAGCAAATTTCTCTTCCAAGGGGTAGATTTCTCTCACTTCTTGTTGTCTCACCCCTTTTCTTAACTATGAGTCGTTTGAATGTCAGATGGTTGTAACTTCGGGATGCCTGCATATATCTGTGTGATCATACACTTTTCTAACCAGATAAGGAAATATATATACACACATACACATTTTTTAAAAAAACTAGAAAGGGATTTATGCCGCTCTCTGGTTTGCTTTTTTTGGATTTCTTATAACTCCTGGAAAATCCCAAGAGTAGAAAACTGGTCTATCAATCAGCTCCAAGTGTGTGCTTCTGAACTATTTACTAGGATAAAGTAAGTACTCCAAATGTGTTGACAGCAACAGACCTCTCTCTGAACTACTACCCTACATTTTCCCAGCATGAGAGAATCAGTTAATGGAGAGCACCAGCTTTTTACAGCCAGAGGGAAGTCCACCCAACCCCTGAGTGATAACTAAAATTAGGATTTGAAACAGTAGCACTGGACTCTCCTGGCTATCTCAGCCAGGAGTGGAGGGTCAACTTTTTGTAAAGACATTCTTTGCTCTGATGAATTCTTATCAGTGGAAAATTAAATAATAAAAATCAGGACTTTAAGAAGTTGGCCATTAATTAGTACTCTCATTGGAAGGTGTAGAGACAGGTGTCTGCCTCCAACTTACAATTTAAATTTCACTCAAGATAGGGATAGACCTACATTCAATCAAATCCAAGTGATGAATGACCAAGAGTTGCTGGCTATTCAATACTTATTATAATTTTTTTTCTGCAGAGAGGCTTCTAGGAAGTTCTGATTAAATACCAATCATAACAGTGGAGGTGATATATGGCTCTACTCCATATAAGGTGCTCAAAATGTAACTTTTTTTCTTAGATGGTGTTTCTTTTTATCCATCCAATACCAGTGCACATTCAAAATGAAATAAATCACACATTTAGACTCCATCTAAGCACTAATTATGCACAAGTACTTACATTTCCAATAGCCAAAAGAGCTTTGTCAAAAAATAGGATCATCCCAAAGAAAAGGAAAAATACTCCAAAACCTGTCAGTCCCATCCCAATTTCTACAATGAAAAAAAAGAGGAGAGTGTTAGTAATAATGGAGACCCAATACCTTGAAAGAAAAATAATAAAACACACAAACACTTAAATACTGCATTAATTATGCTCACTTCTTGGCTACAGATGGTATTTGTCCTATTTTGGGCAGAATACATGATACACTGACTCTATCACATATGACTTGCCTTACTGAAATTAACAATGGGTCTATCTAGTCAAGGATTTCTGAATGAAAATCAATAGTGATGACAAGTAATTTCAGCTAACCACACAAGGTGGATTTGAGCCTGGTGAGCTCCACAACTTCCAATGAGCAAATTCAAGAAGGCAACAAACAGAAGCTTATTCAGTCTGATCAGATGGATGTCAGTACAGAGTCTGTGCTCAAAAAGAACCAACACAAAGCATACAGGGAAGTACACAGCATTTTATACACTTTGACAGCCATTCAAAATACTCAATTGGTGAAAAGCCGGCCTAGCTTCGATCCACACTAATGTTGGCTGGGGAATCCTCCTGACGTCACTGGCTGAAGGAGCCCCCCCCCCCCCCCCATGGCAGGAAAGAAGAACAGATGTGGTTGGTAATTTTAAACTCCGTCCATTTAGAGATTAGCCCCTATGAGGGGTAGGAATCCAGGAAGCTGTGATAAACACAAAGGAAGGAGCTCAGAGAACACAATGGGTTTTTATGCAAATATAAACATTTCAATGGAAGCGATAGAAACGTAATATGTCTGCTTATGTCCAGCAACTGATAACTCTTGACCCCACTGGGAAGCCAGAAAACTACCTTACATGATGATTGCTGATATTGTCTCCTCAGGATGGTCTTAGCCTCACGGTAGATGGGGAAGGCAAAAAAACCCTTCAGGTACTCATGCAAACACATCAATTTACCTTAGACTTTCAAAAGATATGTACTGGATTATTGGAGCACAGATATTGCTACTCGACTTCAGCATATCTTCAGCAAATCTTGTGTTAAGATCACACAAGATTTTTTGGAAGAGAGTGTATAAGTTTATTAGCAATGCTCCAGAAAATCCTTTTTTGTTAAAGGGCTTGTTTGTATAGAGACAGGAAAATTAGGAGGTAATGGGCTGGATGAAGGAAAACGGAACCCAGACAAAACAGAGATGTATGTTATCAAGGGTCCTAATCTGGGGAGTAAGGCATGTCAACCAGCTCTGGATTACACTCTCCCTGAAAGATTGTTTTCACAGCTTGGGAGTGATCCTGAATCCATATTTTCAAATGTCAACCCAGGTAGGTGCAATGGTCAGGAGTGCTTTACTATCAGCTTTGGCTGATATGACAGCTGTGCTCCATCCTGGATTTGGAGGACCTAAAGATGATAGTGCACACGTTGGAAAACTTAAGAGTCATAGCAAACTAGGATTTTGCGAGAGCAAACTAAGCCAGCACGAGCGATGCTCTGCCTCTTTCTCCGCCTATTTCCCTTTGCTAGGGCAGCGTTGCGAGCATACGCTCGTGCAGCAGCAAACTACAGGAAGCTTGCGCTCGGGCTTGCTCCGAAGCCCCGCCTTTTTTTCCCCCGAGGCTGCTCTCTCTCTTGCTAGCATGCCTGTTTTCCATTGCAGAGGGCAGGGATGCGAGGGTACGCTCACAGTTGAATTTTGCCAACTGCGAGAGTACACTCGCATCGCTTCCCTAGCAAGGGAAAACAGGCACACTAGCAAGAGAGAGAGCAGCCTCCGGGGAAAAAAGGCGGGGCTTCGGAGCGAGCTCGAGCACAAGCTCGCTCTCGCTTCCAGTAGTTTGCTACGGCTCTAAGGTTGGACTTCTGTAATATGCTTTACATTGAGGTACCTTTGTACCAGCAACTCCTGTTGGTTAAAAATATGCCAGCCAGACTGGTTACAGGAACATCCAGGAGTGAGCATATTATACCCATACTAAAGTGAGTCCATTAGCTGCCAATCTGTTTCCGGGTGAAGTATAAGATGTTGGTTTTGACCTTTAAAGCCCTACATCAGTGGTTCTCAACCTGTGGGTCCCCAGGCATTTTGGCCCACAACTCCCAGAAAACCCAGGCAGTTTACCAGCTGTTAGGATTTCTGGGAGTTGAAGGCCAAAACATCTGGGGACCCACAAGTTGAGAACGACTGCCCTACATGGTTTGGGTCCTGGTTACCAATGGAATTGCCTTCTCCCATACAATCTGCCCCAAACACATAAGTGGGGGCAGCTATTCCAGCCTGTTAGAACCTGACTGACAATCATTACCCAGAGGACCTTTTCATCAGCTGCCCCAAGACTGTGGAACAACCTACGGGAAGTGCTGCAAAAGCCAAATGAGGTGTTAGAATTTAAAACACATCTGAAGACCTATCTCTTCCGGCAGGCCTACCCAGTCGGTTTTAATAATGAATTTTAAATTCGTGTTTTGAGTTTTAATCTTTGTTCTGTGTATTTTAATATGTATTTTATAGAAATATGTATTAATATGTGTATTTTATAGAATGCTTAAGATGTTTATGTGTTTTTATCACTGTTATAATCAGTCTCAAACCACAAGGAGAAGCGGGTAAGAAATAAAATTATTGCTATTAGTATTAATATTGCTACCAGCCTGGGAGTGGGTAGGTGCACATTGCTGGTCTATCCCCCTGAGGCAATCTGTTTATGAAAAATGAGTTGCAGTTTACACAAAGGAAATCCCATCAATGAAGTCTGGGCTTTAGGTGTGAATATATTATCTAGCTTAGCTGTTTCCTATCCCTGGGCAGGGGATTAAGTAGGACAGGTTTATAAATTTACAGTTCCAGTTCTAAAGGGTTGATTCCACCTCATACAATTTGTATAATTTCATAAAAGTGGATTTCATTTACAGGAGGTGATATAGCTAGCTGGACCTCTCTGCAACTGAAACAAAGCGGCACTTCTGAATTGTGAAACTTAAGAAAAATAATATAAAATCATATTTATGATACCTCTGTTTGTTTGTATTTAATCAGGACGGTGGGGTGTGTGTGTGTGTGTGTCAATTTTTCGATAACGATGTCTGCAAATTCAGCAATCCATTCACTTTTCTTTTTCCAAAACTGCTTCAAGGTTCTTGCAGTATTAATTAAATGTAACTGATAATTATCTTCCTTTTAAAAAAAAAAGCAACCAACACCCCAGCAATCCTTTATGTGGTTGACATCAAGAAAGTATCCACTGAATTGAAAATGAAATTTGTGGGGAGCTATTGGTAGATAAAAAATCTCTTTCCTTTTCCTTCAAGCTACTGTTAAATATTCAAGAAATCATTGCTAAACATCCAATGATGCTAGTATGATTAAAATAAATAGGCTGAATGCCTATTAGAAATAAAAGTACTATGCTTGTTCATAATCTAGTTATTTTAAATTTCTCATCCATGATTTAGAGATGTCATGATTTCTCCTGTGTCTACCCACTCACATGTGTTCTGCAGAAACTAATCTGAGAGAAGGATAAAACTCGCTAAATGCAGACTATTAATTGAAGAAGGATGTTGCAAACTACTTCTTTTTGGGAAACAAAACACGAATCACAAATAGCAACAAGTAAAAAAGAAACATTTGAGAACTCTAGTATCAAGTAAGTGTACTTGTTCAAACAGAAAGTCCTAACTGAAAGAAACAAGTAAAAGTTATCTATTGCCAGAATGCTTCTAAAAGAATGGAAACTTCATTTGTAGTCAAATGTGTTTAAGTAATTCAGCCTCAAATTTTATAGAGCAAACACAAAACCCCATCTAAACAATAGTGCGATTAAATTGTAACAGCTAGTTATTATTATTGTCTTGCTACATCAGTAACAAAAAGACTAAATTATATCTCTGCTCTTGAAATAGTTATGAACAGTTTTGAACATCTGGATCAGTATGCTGAAGAGGATTATTTCTAAAAAATATTCAGGAGATGAAAATAGAAAAATATAACTTCCTTTTTGCAGAGAACTTATTTTGATTTTGTATACATCTGATTTCTATTTCATCACTAACAGAGATCGGCACATATGAGTGCAGAGAGCACATATGCAAGAGGAGAAGGAATAGTGTGGTTATTTTCTTATTTGTACCAAAACTTAGAAACTGTGCTACGAAAAGAGGGAGCTTCCTCTTTTGTACCCAAGAAAAAATAGCTCTCAATTTCACCAATGCTTACCCTATGCAGGATTTCTTTGTTTTCTCACAAGTAGTAACTGTGAAGGTTTTCACATGGCTAGTACACATGATGTTGAAGCCTATTTACTATTATGGAATCTATCTGTATTTAAAGCGACTATATTGAAGATAACTTTCAGATCACACAAGATCCATTAGATTTGTTACCCTATTGAGTTCTGGCAATATACTGTTGAAAAACAACTCTCACTTGATAAACTGGAACATGCCTAATTTGAGAACTGACTCTGGAAAGTCATGATGCCTCACAATTTTGTGGGGTAGGAGGAATCATGGGACACTTGTGCAAGGAGAGGTGCCTTGCATTTACACTCTTTTTCCGGCCAAAGGAACTCTGCTTCAGATGCCATGAAATCAGACAAAACAGGATGTCTAATGCTACAACAAAACATTGAAATTCAAGACAAATTGTGAGTAGACTAAACATAGCCTGAAACAATGCTGTTGATTCACATGGTTATAACCTCCAATTTCAAGATAATTCATCTGTAGACATAATTTGAACATTGCTCACTCATAGATGTCAATGCTAATAGACATTTGTTGATGGAGTGTAGAGACCCTTATTTTCAAGAAGTTATGCAGTATTATTTTATGTTAGTCACAGTCATTATCCACAACCTATATTTTGTTACGTGAGTTGGAATCAGAATCACAGAGCAGACTCACTCAAATCAATGGGATTACACTAAGCAAGATTAAATCTGAATCCAACCCAATGTTACATCTATACCATCATGTGAGGATTATGTTCTAAAAGAGAGCCTATAAGCATAAGCATTACCTTAGTTCAAATAATTTGCATGCACAAAAAACTAAATAA